TTGGCTCCACTTGCTGGCTGTGGGACTTTGGGCAAGTCACTAATGAGACCAGGTAGATAAAGGCATGATGTCAAGCTTGAGGATTCCTCTGTGTGCTTCTTGGGGGTAGGGTGCATACAGTGCCTGGCAAAGGACATGCAACAATCCATGAATACAGAGGCTTGTTTAAAGGTGGATAAGGTGGTCATGTGGATAAATGGGGGATAAAGTGGAGAAAAATGTGGGTAGAGTGGAGAAAAGAACTGGCCTAGATGAGAAGGAAACTTGGGTTTGAGTCCTTACCCTATTGCTGACTTGGTGTATGCTATCAGGGAGGTTATTTCCCCTTTCTAGGCTTCAGTTTCTCTATTTGTAAAATGGTGATAATAACAGTACTACCACATAGAAATATTGTGGATAAATTATTAAATTCAGGTAGAGAACTTAATATACCACATGGCATCAAATGTGCTCAATGATGATGATGATGATGGTAGTGGTGGTAGCAGTGACGGTAATGGTGACATTGGTGATGTTGGTGTTGGTGGTGCCGGTTGTGTTAATGATGTGGCGATAATGGTGATGGTGATGACAACTTTTTGGGACAGAAGGGTTGGATTCCTTCATAGGGTCAAGCTAAAGTTAGTGTCTACTTCATGCACATGAAAATGTCAGGGCTACACCCCAGATGGGAGGGGTGGGGATCATAACACCCCAGCAGCCAGTGATTGTCAGACACAGAAGAGTTAGTCTAGGCTGTTTAGCCGTCTGCCTGTTATCTCTTACTAATCCTTCAAGTTAAACATATCTATCCCCTCTTCCAGGAAGCCTTCTAGGATTCCCCCAAACTGGTTCAGTGCTTAAAATCCTCCTTGAATGCCCTCATTTCCCTCTGCCAAAAGCTTGAACTTCCCGGCTTGGATTGTAAAAGGCTGGTCATCCCTCTAGGTTCATCTCTGGTCCCTTCTACCTTTTTCACTGTGCTCTGGCCATACTCAGGGAATTATAATTTCCTTAATACTCTCCGATATCTGGGCCTTTGCACAGACTGTTCCTTCTGCCAGAAACACTCTTCTCCTCCCTGCCCCTATTTCTGGTCCTCTCCTGCTCCTTTCACCTGAGTGAGACCTTCTAGATCTTTTATGTCTCATCTTTGGTGTTGCCTTCTCTAGTAAGCTTGGTTGACGGTCCCCACTTAACGTGTCTTCATTGGCACTTACTATACGCTAAATGTCTTGCCACTCATCCATAAGACATGAACTCAGCATGGCTGTGACCAGGTCTATCCTGCTCATGTGACAGACAGTACAGTATCTATCACACAGCAGGTACTATCCTCAAGCCACTCATTGCACAAGTTTTTATTTGTGGGCGCTGAGCACCTACTGTGGGACAGGAAACAGTGAGGTACATTGGAACGTGGAATACATCAGTAAAAAAACCAGATGCTCATCCTTGTCCTCATGAGATTTGCATTCTAGCATAGAGAGGAATGGGGATTTTCTGATAGTAAATAAGTGCATTTATAGTATGTGCCAAGGAGATAAGTGTCATGGAAAAAAGAAAAAAGTATAAGCCACGGCAAATGGGTGTGAGAGTGCCAGGGGTGATGTGGGGTGGGTGGCAGGGGTGGGGCTCACTGAGAACATGACATTGGGCAACGACTTGGAAGAGGTGAGGGAGTGAGACATGAGGATGCATGGGGAAGAGTGTTATTGGCCAAAGGAGTAAGCGGTGACAAAGGCTGTAAGGTACAGGGATGCCTGGCCCGTGCAAGGGACAGAAAGGAGTCAAGAAGGCTGGAGGCTGGGAAGGGAGGCACAGAGGATGCGGGGGCGAGGACAGAGAAGTTATGTGGGTGGGCAGAGCATGTAGGCCATTGGAAAGACTTAGGTTTGTACTCCAAGTAAAATGGGGAGACACTGTATGGCTCTGCATAGAGGTGTGATATGATCTGACTCGACTTAGAAGGACCACTCTGCTGCTGGGTCAAGAATAAGCACTGATGTATTTTCCCCTCTCAATAGCCCAAAGTGCAGCCCTTTGTCAACGTAAGCCATGGTCTGATCTGCTGCTCTCCATCTAAAGATTCTGAAGATCTTCCCCTATCTCAGAGAATCACTAGCCTCCTTATGCCAATAGGCTACATGTTGGATGTAAAGTCCTTTCCTAAGAAACCATGTTCTCACTTAGGGATAGTTTCCAGATTTAGCAAATGAGTCAGCTGGGTGTGCCATCCCGAGCTCAGGCGTACTGCAGAGATCAACCTCTTCTTACTCTCTACTGGTGTCAACCATAACTAGCCTTCAAGTTCCTGCACAGGACCACCTCTCTCAGGACCACCTCACCCATGGCTGTACGAAGAGTCTTCGGACATGAATTAAATCCAAATAAAAGCCCAAGGTGAGTCTGGCCTGCCCAAGGTTACAAAGATAATAAGTCACGGAACCGGGACTACACCACAACTCTCAAGACATCTTGCAGAATCAGTCTCTTAGCAGCCGCCTGAAACATGACCATAGCTAGCATTTCAGGCCGCCTTAGAAAGGCTTGGTATGTTGAATATGTTACGGTTGTTTTCCTTCCTCTCTCACATCCCTGACACATGCTTGCTTGGAATGATTTCAATTATTAACTGATTTTTTTTTGTTGTCGGTATAAAGGGAAATCATTACAGCAACCATTCTGGAAATCTGCTCTGTATTCGAGGCTCCTCAAGGCTCCAACTGGAAAATAATAAACTGACATCCTGAGAAGCTGGGTCCAGCCCCTTCCTGTCTGCTTCACACTGCAGGCAGGTGTCTGGGTGGGAAATTGGACACCCCGTCAGACTGAGTTTCCTGCACTATCTTGTTCTTGTCTGCCAGCTGGGCCTGGGACACCCCACAAAGCGGATGTGGGAAACAGCTGGTGTCTGTACAGACAAACAGGGGGAGGAAGGATGGAGGGAACAGACAGACACCGTGCTGGGCCAAGTGACTGGGAGGCCCCAGCCCTGGGGACCTGGAAGAGGTTTAGGTGGAGAGTTGGCAAGAAGAAGATGCTGAGAGTTCATACCAAGAACTCCATTCCAGGAGGTCGGCAAAGCAAGAAGGTCGCCCACAAGAGGGCAGGGAGCTTGGGTAAGACACAGCCCATGGCATCAAGATGTGCAGAGGGGTTTGAGGCAGGTGCTGTGCTGTTTAAACTCTCTAGGTTTGCATCTCAGCTCTACCACTTACTGGCTCTGTGAACTTAACTCTTCTAAGCCCAAGCTTTGTCATCTATAAAATGAGGATGAAAGGGACAACTCCTGCAACAGAGCTACTGAATTGATGAAATGAAATGGCATGTAAAAGTAGCCCACTCTATGTTTGCCACAGAGTAAGCTTTCCATAAATATTAACTATTACAGTTAGTTTGGAGTCAGGACAGCCTAAATCCCACATACAGCTCCACCACCTTGTACACATGATGTCACCTCGCTGAGCCTCACTTTTCTGCTTTGCTGAGTTGTTCTGGAGTCTAAGATTACATGCATGGAGATCCCAGCCATAGTCCAGCACAGAGGAAGTGCTCAATTAATGAAATTCCTGTAATTTAGGAAAGTGCTGGAAGCATACCTGTCGTATGGATGAGTTTCTGAGTGCCAGTTTGGGTGCTTAGGCGAAGGAAATTTCCCATGATATCGACTGGGGCCAAGGGGACAGGTCCAACTAAATTAGGTCCAACAGGTAAGGGAAGGGGGATGAGAGGAAGGAAGCCCCCCTCCTGCCCTAAGGGGATTCCCACCATGAAATCTGTACTTTCTTCTAACCTGTGGATGCTCAGGGTAAATTCCTGTCTGGGCTGCTGGGATATCAGCGATGATGGGCAGTGCTAGGAACCCCATATACCCCCTCTTTGTCTTTCCTGCTGGGAAAAGCTGCTTTCCTCTTCGTCAAGGGGAGAGGTCTCACACCTAAGGTTCCCTGGCAGTCTGGTCTCACAGTGAAGTGTTTCCAACCAGAACTGGGGGGGGGGGACATGCACAGGTGTGCAGAGGACAAGGTCCTATCTCAATGTGCTTTCATCTCTTGAGAGTCAACCTCATGCAGGAGAAAGAGCACGACTTGTGAGTCAGACAGAGCTGGGTTCAAAGTTGGTCTTCACCATTCACTGGCCACATGAACTCAGGCGGGTCCCGTAAGTGCTCTGAACCCAAACTCTTTCCTCTGTGCGGCAGGGATAACA